CAGGAGTGGACAGGCAACCTACAGAATGGGAGAACATTTTTGCAATCTAGTCATCTGACAAAGGGCTAATATCCAGAACCTACAAAGAACTCAAACAAATTTACAAGAAAAAAAAACAACAACCCATCAAAAAGTGGGCAAAGGATATGAACAGACATTTCTCAAAAGAAGACATGCATACAGTCAACAGAACACATGAAAAAAGCTCATCATCACTGGCCATCAGAGAAATGCAAATCAAAACCACAATGAGATACCACCATCTCACACCAGTTAGAATGGCATCATTAAAAACTCAGGAAACAACAGGTGCTGGAGAGGGATGTGGAGAAATAGGAACACTTTTACACTGTTGGTGGGATTGTAAACTGGTCAACCATTGTGGAAACAGTATGGTGATTCCTCAAGATCTAGAACTAGAAATACCATATGACCAGCCATCCCATTACTGGGGTATATACCCAAAGGATTATAAATCATGCTGCTATAAAGACACATGTACACATATGTTTATTGCGGCACTATCACAATAGCAAAGACTTGGGAATCAACCAAATCATCCTCAGTGACAAGACGGATTAAGAAAATGTGGGCACATATACACTATGGATACTATGCAGCCATAAAAAAGGATGAGTTCGTGTCCTTTGTAGGGACATTGGATGCAGCTGGAAACCATCATTCTTAGCAAAACTATCGCAAGAACAGAAAACCAAACACCGCATGTTCTCACTCATAGGTGGAACTGATCAGTGGATCACTTGGACTCTGGAAGGGGGAACAATCATACACCAGGGCCTATTATGGAGAGGGACGGGAGGATGCCATTGAGTTTATACCTGATGTAAATGACGGAAGTGACGAGTTGATGGGTGCTGACGAGTTGATGGGTGCAGCACACCAACATGGCACAAGTATACATATGTAACAAACCTGCACATTGTGCACATGTACCCTAGAACTTAAAGTATAATAAAAATAAATAAATAAATAAAAATAAAATCCACAGGAAGAAAAAAAAAAGACCCAGTCATCACATCCTTATTCCACCTCACAAGAAGAAAGAAGTAAAGAACAGATTGCCCCTTTTCTATGGAGACAGTTCTCAGAAGTTGCATACACCACTTTTGCTCACATCCCACTGAGCTAGAATTTAGTCAGATCACCACAGCCATCTAGTAGGGAGGCTGGAAAATACAGGCTTTATTCTGAACAACTTTGTACCCTTCAATTGCAAATGAAGGCTTTCTAGCAGTCTCTGCAAAAGGCCTGTGTAAACACTCAAGTTTAAGATCTCAGAGATGGAGCACTTCCAGGTAAAGACACAATGACGAATATGACCCCAGGAACAGGTGGTTGAAAGGCAGTCAAAGTGAAGGTCATTGACATATGAAAGTCAAGGGACAGTGAGGCTTACTTATGGAATGGATCATTAACAATGCAGAAGATGAAGCCACATAGGTTAACTGAAGAGTTAGGGTGAAGAGGAAGATTCGGAGGCCACTGATGATATTGTAGTTATATGGTAGACCTTGCAGCCACATGAACCACTGACTTAAGTTTATTCTATAATTATTTCAACTTAAAGAATCAGGAACATTCTCTGATATTTTTGCCTTTGATTTCCCATAGTACTGGAGACATTGAACACGCTTAATAAATACAAGTTGTGCAAAGGAGTCACAAACCCTCACTAGACCCCAGAAGATAACCAAATATATTCTATCCCCCAAAAGCTCTTGCTGACTCAGGCATCAGGAAAATGACAAATATTCTTTCTGTTGTGCTGCAGCATTTTGGTAAACTACCCAGTTTAACAAGCAGCATATTTGAAATATACTACCTGTTCTTTGAAGATTGAAAATACTGTAGGGAAAAAGATATATAAAACAAGAAAAAATAAGGAAGTTATATGTGTGCTGTGTTACTATATAGGAGACTGAGAATAGACTTAAGAGAGTGCAGCATCTGTTTCCAAAACAGCCAGACAGAAGGGAATTCTCTTCCTATTCTCATTACTAAATACTCAAAAGAATCACTGATTTGGGGAGTAAGGGACAGAGCAACTTCTTTCTCCTTCCTGTGAAGATGAAAAGCCAACCTGCTGGCTTCCATATGAACTGTGCACTTAAAAGGCAACCATCTAAGCAGCTTGGAGGGACCGAGAGTCCTGTGTCTGACTGCTGCCCTCACCGGCAGCAGGGATGCTGAGCCACAAGCCACGTCTTGGCTGGTGCACAAGGGAGAGGCTCATTCGGTCTGCCTTCTCTTCTTCCCTCCAAAAGCTGGCTCCAAGGAACTTTTATCTACTCGGTGTTACAAAGAGGAAGACAAATGGGTGAAGTTCCGCCAGCTGAGACAGGGTCAGAATCCTGCAAGGACCTCATGCCAATCTAAACACAGATTCAAAAGCAAGTGAGATCCAAGTCTAATGAGACTATGCAGAGACTGCAAGGTTCATGCAGTACAGGAGATAACCACCTTAGCAATTTTCTTTCTTGAAACCCTTGATTAGAAATCCACTGCCCCCTCCTTTTTATTTATTTTGTTTTTTTGGTGAGAACTGTGACTGTACCTATCTAGCTAATATCCATAGCAAGACAGAAAAAATGTTTAAGTTATCCTAAGCTTACATTCCAAAGCAAATGTTCTTTTCAAAAACCAAATATAGATAACAGAATAATTAACAATACCTATGTATCCACCATCAGAATGAATAGTTAAAATCTATTAACATTTATATATTATAAAAATTATAATTGGCTCGCATTACTTTTGGTATTTATGTCCCACAGAGTTACCACAAACACTGAATTCTCAAATACCAAACCATTGCTCCTAGAGGAAATATAAGATTAGCTTCCTGTGAGCCTCTGGCATATGTATCCATGAACAGAATGTGGAATGGTTGTGTAGGGTTTATAAAATGTTTTACATAAACATATCATACCGTTTCAATATTCTGCAACTTGCTTCTTCCACTTAACTGTATGTTTCCAAAATCTATTTATATTGAAACATATAGATTTAATTAATTGATTGAAACTTCAGAACAGTAATTCCAAGACTCAGCAATTAGATGATATCAATCACCAAGAATTTCAAGCACTTCCAGTGAAAACGTATTCTTCATCCTATACCTAAAAAAGTTGTCTTAAACAAATGTGGTCACAATATTCTTTTGTTAAATCATATATGATGTAGAATATAATCAGAACCCCTCAGTACATCAATGTCATCTTCAATCAGGACCACTTCTCTGATGTCATCTCCCATCACTCAACCCCATGCAATTTATGCTGTGGTATACATGCTTTTCATGTCTTTGGCCCTTTCAAATACTATTAGCTCTGCCAGGTAAGTTATTTCTTTCCTTCTTTGTCTGGCAAACTCCTAGACAACCTTCCAAACTCAATGCAAATGCCATCTCCAGAGGAAGATTTACTTCAAAGCCAATGAAATTTAAGCTTCAGGCCTCTCAATTCCACAGGTCTCTACAAAGACCACGGGAGAGATTTAGCAAGGTATCCATGTGGACATTTGTATTTTTGTAAAATCATAGGATTAAGGTTTTCTTTTGTTAAAGGGCCATCCAAATGATATAATCTTAAACTAAATAACAAACAGAGATGGAGACTCTCTAAAGAAAATTATATTTATCTGGGAATAGCATTGCAATGAGAATGTGAATGTCATAATAAACTATGTGCATATTCGAGAAGGGTGGAGCAAGGGGAAGTTTTTATTATTTATTTATTTATTTTGAGATGGAGTCTCACTCTGTCGCCCAGGTTGGAGTGCAGTGGTGCAATCTTGGCTCACTGCAACCTCCACCTCCCAGGTTCAACCAATTCTCGTGCCTCAGTCTCCTGAGTAGCTGAGATTACAGATGCATGCCATCACACCCGGCTAATTTTTGTATTTTTAGCAGAGGCGGGGTTTCACCATGTTGGCCAGACTGGTCTCAAACTCCTGACCTCAAGTGATCCACTTGCCTCAGCCTCCCAAAGTGCTGGGATTACAAGCATGAGCCACCGCGCCCAACCAAAGGGGAAGTTTTTAAAGGCAAAATGAGAAGAAATACATCAAGTATTTTGAATCAAGTATGCTTGCCTACAAGGTTCAATAACAAGGGTGGCATCAGTCCAAGCTGAGACAGGCAGTTGCTGGATAGACGTCCATGCAGAAGTATTTTCTGTGTAAGGTTACTATGGCTTTTGTGCAAGGCTGCAGTTTTTGCCATCTTTTGTAACTGTTCTTGTTATGAGGCACACATGCGTGAGAACCCTCCCTTCATGGCCTTCTCTGCCCCCATTTGTCAGGATTTTAACTCAAGTGACTCCATTTTGATTCTGACAACCTTCAAAAGCTTCAGACCCCTCTAAACCTGGATCTGCCCTGATCATCACTTTTGTGAAGCTTTCCATGACCTCCTGAAAGGGAAGTCCTCTGAGGTTCCAGAGCACTTTAAGTCTAATATTTAATATGTTTTAGTATAACTTATCAGCCCACATAATTGGACAACATATTAGAGAATTTTTGTTCATATGTCTGTCTCAATAGTAGGTATTCAACAAAAACTTGGTAAACGTGTATTACTGATGAAAATACAAACAGAGATTCGTGAGCTTATTTGCTGTCTGTTCCATTTTCAGACCCTGCCACCATCCATCTTCAGAAGGAGCCTTCCAACTGCATGCTCACTGCACACCAGCAGACAGGGAGGGGCCAGAGGAAGCCAGACGGCAGCAAGAGGGGAAAGAAGTTTTCAGGAGGGTGGTGAGAAAGAATGTGAAGTCAAATCACAAAAGGAATGGGAGTCAAACAGAAACGAGGCTGAGAGTTCAAACAGGGAAGGAGACAGTAACACAGACCCATCATCTGGGAAGAGTTCTTGTTTGAGGTGGTGGAGTAGTTTCATTTAAAAACAAAGGGAAAAGTTCAAAGTACCTAAAAAGGAGATATGACGAAAATAGGTATTTAGTTACAATTGGTTAGATTAAACTAGAGAAACTAGCTAATCCTGCACCGTAGCACTCGCTGTTTCTTCCGCTGGACAGCCCTCCCCTGTCAGCTCTCACACACCCTTCAAGAACCAGCTTCACTGTGACTTATCTGAAGCCATTCCTAGGTTTTCCTGCCTGAATGCTCCAGATTTCATTTCTCCCTCAGCTCTGCAACCAAAACTATAAACGTAACTATAAGTGTGTTTTTTACTTATTTTAAACATCTAAGTACTAAACCATGTGTAAATAAACTATTCTTTATATTTTCATTTGATAGTCTTAACTTTCCCACAATTAACTACTAAATAGAAAATTTTAGTGTTTTTTATTTCAAGTCATCCTTTTATCCCATGTACCCAAGATAGTTATGTTCTAGCAAAATATGACATTGTTCTCCTGGTGAGAGACAAGAAGGCAGGCAAAAGCAAAAGGCAGAACCAAAACACATTTGAAAGCACTTCCCATGGGAAAGAATGTCACATTTGAAAACAGATTCCTCCGTTGTTTCCTTGGTTTAAGCGGAAGTTACTTGCTTTGTAAAATTACAGTTGAAACCATTGTTGCAGAGCAAGAGATTCTCTGTTCTCCTGTGGCAGTTATTACTGCGTCCGAGGCAGGCTCAAATAGAATCTGAGATCATTCAAAATTTAAACAGTGAATGCAGCAATCAAAATGTCACCGGGGTAGGGGAATGAATGAATAATTCAGCTCACTAAAAGTTAACATTTAGCAAAGACCAGACTTGCAAATTCCAGGAGGTAATGAGAGCCTGGAATAAGATGGTCCCTACCCTCTGCCACCTACTTCAATTAAAAACAAACAAAATGACCATGAAATCTGTATGTTGACCTCCTAGACACCCTGCTTTTTAGGGGTGCATTCACATCTGAGGAACAGCAGCCAGAGAGTGATCCAAACACCCTGATGGGGCATTCAGGAACACTATTTGATTTCAGTTCATCCAACACTTCCTGAGCTTCTACCAAGCCAGCTACTGAACTGGGTGCAGGGAATGCAGAGATGTATAAAACCATCACCGCCTTTGAGGAGCTCATGGTCTAGGAGAGTGGATGACAAAGACTCAGGGATCCTGCATCATGGGAGGGTATAATAAAGCTATGACAAGGACAACAGGATCCCTGAAAGGCCCACTTGCATAGGCTTGTGTTTGTGGTGGGGAGTTGTCTGGTATAAAATCTAGATGGCTGGTGACTGCCAGGGAGCTCCAGCAGCAAACTTGGGGTTCAGGACCAGGCCCTCATGAGGACAGCTTTGCTCTTTCATCCCACTGTGACTATAGGTGTGGTGTTTTCTCTGCCTAGGATGTCCTCACCTCCTTTGCCCACCTGGAAACCTCTATTTCTCTGCAAGAGATTCACATGAGCTTTACTTTCCAGATGAAAGCGCTCTTGGCTGTCCCAGACAGCCTCGGGTGCCTAATTGTCATAAACAAAGACAAAGACCACATCCTGCGGTGACAGCTCCTCGTCTGATCCAGTAGATGGTCTGCGAACAGAGAAGGCCATGTTTCATCTGTCTGCATGTGCAGAGCCTGACAAGCAAGGCACTCAGTAAATGTTTGTTAAAATGAATGAGGCCGAGTTCCACTTCGCTTAGGAGGATGTGGCTTCCATTCTAACAACAAGAAAAAGCCTGACATTCTAAAACATCGTAACTTTTCTTGAGCCCATCTGAGGAGGTGAGGCTACGAGCCAATGAAGTGAACACAATTCCAAAGACTGACAAGTGCCTCCGACCAAAGGGGACACACCTTTGTCAGAGATGGAGGAGGACATGGCTGCCCGAAACAGCAGGTTGGAAGGAAACAGCTAAAATGGTAATAAATTCTTAAGTGTGGCCTAAGCGCAACAAGGTTAGTCCCAGACACAAGGAGCGGGCGTTCGTACTCACACGCGAGCTCTTTTCCAAGGTCTCCGTCGGGGCTCCTGAGGAGGCTGGGAGGCAGGACTGGAAGAGCAGAGAAGCCACCACGAGCCTAACACAGAGTAGCAACGAGCGCGGATGCAGAGTCAGCCCATGAAGGCCAAGGTGGGGAAGGGACACTGAGAAAGCTCAGGGCAGCGCGCGCCCCACAAGAAGCACACGGAACCCGCCCAGAAGGCCTCTGCCCCACCCCCGCGGCTGTGAGCGCCCACTTCCGGGTCACTTCCGGGTCCCGGGCGGTCGCTCCTCTGCGTCCGGCTGTGGCCTCCGGGGCCTCCATGCGGCCTCCTCAGCTGTGACACGACCAGGCTCTGCATGGGTCCCCCACCCAGCGCTGCAGCTCAAGAGACTCTCCAGACAGTCAGCTGGGGCCGTCGCGGGCCGCCTCACTCGCCTCTCCTGTCACGGGGATGACTTTCTCATGCTGCCTGTTGCCCAGGGTAAGAGCCATCGGTTCATAGATTTTCCTTAAGGTTTTTAGTGTTTTAAGTCTCAGCGGTCCGTCTGGTACTTGTTACATCATCTTGGTCAGAAGCAAATGTTCAATTGATTTTCCACAAAGGTGCCAAAGCAATGCAATAAAGAAAAGAATGCCTTTTCAATAAATTATATAGAAACAACTAGATTCTCACATGCTAAAAAATAAACCTCAGCACCTACCTCCCATCAAACAGAAAATGTTACATGATGGGTGCATAACCTGAACGTAGCAGTTAACATAAACATAATACAGTTTTTAAGGGAAAGCATATCTCTAAAACTTAAGAGTAGGAAAACATTTCTTAGAAAGGAAACAGCAAATAACAACAATGAAAGAAAAAAATGGTAGATTTTATCAAAATTGAAAATTTTTGCTCATCAAGTGACTGTTAAGAAAACAAATAGACAAGCTGCTGACTTGGATAAAACATTCACACAACTAAAAACGATTATCTAGGATGAATAAAGAACTATAATCCAATAATAAAAAGACAACTAAAAAGTGGTCAATTAATATGATCAGATACTTTACAAGGAAGGTATACATATGGCCAATAAGGATGTAAAATATCGTTCAATGCCATTAGTCATCAGGGAGCAGCAAATAATTAAAACCAAAAGACATACCACTACATAACCACAAGAATGTCTAAAATTAAAAACACAGCCACAAATGTTGGTGAGGAAGTGGAGTGACTGGAACTCATATATTGTTGGTGGAGGTATAGTGGTATCTAGCAATTTCTTGCTAGGTAACATACACTTACCCTATGGCCCAAAAGTTCTATGCTAGGCATTTATCCAAGTGAAATGAAATATATATTCATTTAAAAAGCTCAGATTTGTAATATCCAAAACTAGGAAACTCCCAGGTATCTATCAATAGGAAAACAGATACACAAACTGCAGTATATTCATATAATGTGATGCTGCTCAATAATAACAAGGAACAAATTATTAATACACAAAACAACATCAATGAATCTCAAAACCATGCTAAGTGAAAGAAACCAGATAAAAAAGAGTATGTACTACTGTCTATACATTATAATTACATTTATTTGAAATCTAGAATAAGCAAAATGAATGTACAAAAAAAAAAGAGAGCTATCCATCAAACAATGATGATACCAAAAAAACCAGAGTGATGGTGCCTCTGGGGGGGAAGGAATGGTGGGAATTAGCTCGCATAAGGGACTTTCTGGGATTACAGTACCATTCTATGCCTTGATAGGGGTTTGGGTTATACAGATTTAGGCAACTACCAAAATTAAACAAATCATAACCTTAAATATTTGAGCATTGCATTGATTGTAAAATTTACCTCAAAAGAAAAAAGTTAAATGGATTGATGGATGAATAGAGGGATGGAAAAATAGATACATATGTGATAAAACAAAGACAGTAAAAAATAGTAAAGTCTAGGTGGTTGGTATATGGATGTTCACTTTAAAATTCCTTCAACTTTTCTTTATGCCTGAAAATTTCATAATATAAAGTGATGAGAAAAATTGTGTTAAATGAATAGGGCAAGATGCTAGTCTCAGACAGGCCAAAGTACTAGGATGGGGACTCAAGTACAAGGTTATAGGACAAGACCAGTTAAACAGGGGAATAATAGTAATAATGGCCATCATTTATTTATTGGATACTCACTGTAGGGGGCCCTGAACAGGGCACTTCTCAAAACTCAGCTTGCTTAAGCCTTCTAACATACCCATTTTACAGATAAGACACTAAAGGTTAGAGAACTTATGTAATTCATCCTAAGCCCCTCCCCACAGTCAGAAAGTGGGTGAGCCAAGGTTGAGCCCTGGACTATCAGATCCCAGGCAGCTTATCCATCATGCTGTTCCTCCTTTGCTAGACTTCAAAGGGAAGGCTGGAGCTACTTACTTGAACCAACAGCTTTTAAGATTAGAGCAGGGCTGATTTGATGAGTCACTGGAATATTAGAGTCCAGTCATGTGTTGCTTAACAATAGGGATACATTCCAAGACTGCATCCTTATGCAATTTCATCATCATGTGAACTCATGGAGTTCATTTACACAAACCTAGATGGTGTAGCCTACTACACACTTAGATTATATGCTATAGTCTACTGCTCTTAGGACACAAACCTGTACAGCAAGTTACTGTACTGATTATTGTAGGCAATTGAAACATAATGGTAAATATTTTATGTATCTAAACATTTCTAAACATGGGAAAGGTACAGTAAGATTTGATATAAAGGTTAAAAAAAAAAAGATACTCTTGTATAAAGCATTTGCCATGAATGAAGTTTGCAGGACTGGAGGTTGCTCTGGGTGAGTGAGTGGTGAGTGAATGTGAAGGCCTAGGTTATTACTGTATACTACAATAGACTACAAACTCTGTACACTCCAGCTATGCAAAACTTATGTTTAAAATACAGTAAGTGTGATATGACTTTACAACAGCTACAATGTCACTAGGCTATAGAAATTTTTCAGCTCCATTATAATGTTATGGGACTATATTTTAAATTCCTTCTGATTGGGCAAAGAATGAACTCCAGAGTCTAGGAGAGGGCTATCAGAACTGAGGTTCTGCAGTATACACTATGCGGCAGGGACCACATCCCTCTCGTGTTCCTGCTATAAACCTACAGGGTTATATAGGTTATATACCTATAGGCATTCCACAAATGTTTACTGGTGAATGAAGAAATACATACAGAAATAGGAAACCAGACAGATCATTATACATTCTCAAGCAGGAATGTGACTACGTGAGTGGGAAAATCATCTTTCTAGATCAATCTTATTTCTCTCAAACTACTTCTGAGATTCTCCAAAAGAATGCAACTTCTTTTGAATGGCTTATTCCTGGAAAGGTTTTTTGTTGTTGTTTTTGTTTGGGTTTTTTGTTTGTTTGTTTTTTGCTGACACTGGAGGTATTCTTTGCACATTCTAATGTATGCCAAGAAGTCTGTAAGAGTTCTGAACAGTCTCAGAATCTTGCTTTTGGAAGATCTTTAGAGGTTGTTCAGGCTAGCAACTTCCCAAATACAGGATAGTAAAAGAGTCTTGTAATCACTTTTCTCCCTCTTTGCAGGAGAAAGAGCAAAGATTCTAACCTGACAGCAATAGAACAAATGAGAACCACAAAAATCTCGTCTTGAAAGATTCTTAATCTGTGGGAGAGAGTTGCTTTATGAGAGGCCAGGGGCCAGAGCAGGCATGGTCCAGGTTCTGAGTGTTCCAGAGAAGACAGGTCTGACTGTGCCGTCTCTAGATTTGGTTTTCTTAAGTGCTCTGAAGACAGTTCTATATGGTAGGCCGGGTAATGGAAAAAGAATGCCTCACCTAAAGACACACTCAAAATAATTTTCTATTTCTGGTTTCTTTAAAAAAGATGCTCCCAAACTACTCTTTCAATGAGATTAAAGCCTATTTGCTTCTTTGTTCAAAAGGAATGGGATTCCTTATGTATTTAATTGAGGGCCTTTTGGGCTACTTAGATTCTTTTACAGAACTGGAATTCATCAGTAGGTTCTGGTGTTAATGTGGCTGAACCGCTTCAGAACACTCAGTGGTTCTCACAAAATCCCAATGGTGCAGTGTTGTTTTTGTTCACATTGTGCAAATGAGGAACTAAGACTCAAATAGATGAAATAACTCACAAAGTCATTCCGCTGGTACGAGGAAGAACAAGAGAAGGAGAACTGATCTTCATGCCCAGGTGAGGTCTCTTGACTGTCAGCTTGGTCTTTTCACAACAGAACTTGAGTGCCTGTTTTTCCCAGGTGCTAGCAATTAAAGCGCTCCTGCTAATACTCGTCACAAGAATAGCCTGGGAGTCCGAACTCAGCATGTTTGGTTGTTGCTATTTAGATTCATGACTTATTTTGAAGCTGTCAGGCATTCCCTAGACCTGATGCCAGATTTGTAGTTAAAGGAGAACCATGACCTATCTCCAGAACATTCCCTGTGAGTCTGAATAGGATAGAAGTTATAGATCCCTATGTCTTCACTAAGTTCTTAGTATATTCGGAATGGCTCATGCTTACATCCTTTCTGTCAATCTTCCATCACTCTCTGGAACGTGATGTAAGATCATCAACGAAGCAGAACCACTGGGAAGCAGCTAGAAGGGAGTCAGCCTTTGAGTGGGATGGGCCCATGGTTTCCTTGCCTCTTGCTTCTTCATCATTGACAAGTCAAGGTGCTGGCTAAGTGGAGACTCAAAACAGGAGAATTCACAGACGGTTCAGACAAAAGTAGCTTTTTTTTTTTTTTTTTTTTTTTTCCCTTAAGTGGAATTATCTTGACCAAGTCTGGCAAAGCATATGGAGACCTAACTAAAAATGGCAGCCAAGAAACTATCAGAAGGGTCTATAACCTTTGAAAGAACTCAATAGTACCTGGCCACATCTTCAATCTCTAATGCTGGGGGATGATAAATTATTCAGATGAAATAATCTTGGTTTCCACTCACCACAGCCCAAGAGCATTGATCCACATCATCACTAATGATGATGAGCATCACCAATCCACAGAGGTCTTCATGATGAGATGCCAACATGAAATGGAGGAGTGACAGCATTTCTGCTTTAGACTGTTTACCCCTTCCTCACCCTGAGATTTCACATGCTCTTCAGCGGGCCTCCAGGAGTGAACTGTTCTTCCTGCTACATCAAACAGCAACATGAAGATCAATTATCTACCTATATTCCCTGTTGGGCTTAGCGTTTGGGGTAGCAAAGGACTGATTCAGATCCCCCTGCTGGTATGGAAGACAAATCCATTATCTCACTTCCATACCAGTGCTTTTAACATCTAGATCAGTGCTTTTAAAACTTAGATTTGCCTAAGAATTATCCATGTATCTTGTTAAAATGCAGATTCTGATGCACTAGGTCTTATTGGTAGATACTCTGCCTTTCTAGCAAGCTCCCAGGTGATGCCAATGGTCCTGGTCTATGGATCACTCTTTGGAAGGCAAGGAACTACTTGACTGTGAAAAGTAGGCCCACCCTCTAGACTCTCTCCACCCGGGTCTAACCTGTACATTATAG